TCTCTGTGGCTTTTTGGAGCCTGTCCTGGAACTAGCTCTGTAGACCAGGCTGGTCTCGAACTAAATATTGGCTACTTTTATATCCACAAAAAAAAAAAAAAAATTCTAGACAACCTGACTGCAGTTCCAGGACAGGCTCTAAAGCTACAGAGAAACCTTGTCTCGAAAACAAAACGAACAAACAAACAAACAAAAAGAAGAAAAAGAAGAAGAAGAAGAAGAAGAAGAAGAAGAAGAAGAAGAAGAAGAAGAAGAAGAAACTTTGTCTCAAAAGAATCAAACAAAACAAGAAAACAAAATCAACCACCACAACAAAAAACTTCTGAAGGACTGGCTATGACTCAATGGTTAGGAGAGCTCATTGCTCTTACAAAAACTGGGTTCGGTTCCCAATATCCACATCTCATAGTTCACGACCATTTATCTCCAGTTTCAAGGGATTCAATACCCTCTTCTGGCCTTTGCAAACACTGGACACACATGTGGTGCACAGAGACTCATGCAAACAAAACATCTATACATATAAAATAAAAATATTTTTAAAAGGTAAATGAAAGATGACCATTTGTTTCAACCATCTCATTTCTAGGTAAAGACACAAAGAATTACAATGAGGATCTGATAATTGCACAACAATAGTTGGGCTATGTAACCCACTTGGGTGTTTACCCATCAGTTGGATGAACTGGCAAACAAAATGCAGCACAGTAGAATAATCAACTTATAAAGGAGGACCTACAAAGCGAGTTTGAGGCCACCCTGGGCCATATAAAGTCCTGATTTAAAAAAGAAAAATTCTGACACACTACATACAATATGTAGTCTTTAATTTTATGTTCCGCTAAAGAAGCAAGACAAAAAAGGAGATCAAGCCTTGTTTTGGAGACTCGGAAAGCTAGTTGTGTCAGGTTCCTTTACTAAAGTTGAGCTGCTGTGAACAACTAACGATAGTGCAAACCTGTGCATCGGGCGGGGCTTCGGCACTCTACCGTAGGAGGGGCCTCGGCGTGAGCTGCGTCATGACGCACAGTGACGAGGGACGCCAGCGCCGCCGCACAGGGTAGGGGCGGGACGGCGCCCCCTGCGGCCGGGCCGCGGGCTCGGTGTGGGGTGAGGGGTGCGGGAGGGTGGGCGGCAGGCAGGGCCGGCGTGGCCCCATGCTGCTGCCGCTGGCCTGCCTGCATGGGCGGGTGGCACAGTGCCTAACCTCCCTGCTGGTGCTCGCAGAGCCACTGCCCAGGCCCCGGCGCGGTGCGAAGGCGCGCGGCGCAGCGCCGACCAGTGTGGAGGTGGCCCCGGCTGGAACGAAGATGGCCTCAGAACTGTACCCGCCCGCCGGCGCCTCTGCAGCTACTGCCACCGACATCGCCAACAGCAACGCGGCGGGCGCGGCCGTGGGCAGAAAGGTCAGCCTCTGCTGCCCGCCCCGCCTGGCGCCCGCCCCACTGCCGCCCTTGCCCGCGCCGCCCGCGCCAGACAACAACAATCCCGAGAGCCCCAACTGGCAGTCCTTCCACCCGACGCTGCGCGAGAGGTGAGCTGCCGCCCGCCCCCGGGCTCTCTCCAGAGCCCGGGCGCGCGCTGTTCCAGCCCGTGTGCCTCTCCCCTTTACAGGAATGCGCTCATGTTCAACAACGAGCTGATGGCTGACGTCCACTTCATCGTGGGGGCCTTAGGGGCAGCCAGGCGCGTGCCCGCCCACAAGGTGGGTAGGGGCGCAGCCCTGTCCCCTGGTGGGGGTCTGGCTAGACGCAATATCCCCAGCCTTCTTAACAACCCTGTAGCTCAAGTGACTTTTCTTTTATTCACAGTACGTCTTGGCTGTCGGCAGCTCTGTCTTCTATGCCATGTTCTATGGGGACCTTGCGGAAGTCAAATCAGAAATCCACATTCCTGACGTCGAGCCTGCCGCCTTCCTGGTCTTGTTAAAGTAAGTGCTCTACTCTGGGGCTGGAAGGATGGGGTGGTTACCTTCCAGTTGTCCCCTACATGTTTCCTACAACCCAAGAGGTTGTGCATGGGAGCCCATGAGTTCCTCTCTGAGGCCAGCCCTTGCAGCTCCCCAGAAGAGTCCCTGCCTTACCCAGGTACATGTACAGCGATGAGATTGATCTGGAGGCGGACACAGTGCTCGCCACTCTGTATGCTGCTAAGAAGTACATTGTACCTGCATTAGCCAAGGCCTGTGTCAACTTTCTGGAGACAAGCCTGGAAGCCAAAAATGCCTGTGTCCTGCTATCCCAGAGCCGACTGTTTGAGGAGCCTGAACTGACCCAGCGCTGCTGGGAAGTCATTGATGCACAGGCTGAGATGGCTTTGAAGTCTGAAGGCTTCTGTGAAATTGACCGGCAGACCCTGGAGATCATTGTGACCAGGGAGGCCCTCAACACCAAAGAGGCTGTGGTCTTTGAGGCGGTCCTGAACTGGGCTGAGGCAGAGTGCAAGAGACAGGGCCTCCCGGTCACCCCTCACAACAAGAGGCATGTTTTGGGAAGAGCCCTCTATCTAGTCCGAATTCCAACTATGACTCTAGAGGAGTTTGCCAACGGTGCTGCCCAGTCAGATATCCTGACCTTAGAGGAGACCCACAATATCTTCCTTTGGTACACAGCTGCCAACAAGCCAATCCTCGACTTTCCCCTGACCAAAAGGAAGGGCCTTGCTCCACAGAGGTGTCACCGCTTCCAGTCTTCTGCCTACCGAAGCAACCAGTGGAGATATCGTGGGCGCTGTGACAGCATCCAGTTTGCAGTGGACAGAAGGGTGTTCATTGCTGGACTGGGCTTATATGGGTCCAGTTCTGGGAAGGCTGAGTACAGTGTGAAGATTGAACTCAAACGGCTAGGGATGGTCCTAGCTCAGAATCTCACCAAGTTTGTTTCAGATGGATCCAGCAACACATTCCCGGTCTGGTTTGAGCATCCAGTCCAGGTGGAGCAGGACACCTTCTACACTGCCAGTGCTGTCCTGGATGGCAGTGAGCTCAGCTACTTTGGGCAGGAAGGAATGACAGAAGTACAGTGTGGAAAGGTAGCCTTCCAGTTCCAGTGCTCCTCGGACAGTACCAATGGGACTGGAGTCCAGGGTGGACAGATTCCAGAGCTCATCTTCTATGCCTGAGGTGTAGGGGTTGGGGTGGACTTGCCATTAGGCTCTTCCTCCATGGAGTCTACCCAGTAAGTGCAGTGGAGGTGCAGGACACTGCCTACTGCCTTACTGATACCATTAAAGGTTTGGCTTACCATATCAGCCCGAGTCTGAAACAGATGACTTCTCTTTACAGATCTTTAGGAACTGATCTTAGGAACAGAATTATACATGTCCCTTGACCCTGAGATGATATTCCACAGATGGAGGACAGACGCGGGTCCAAGGTAGTCCCAGGTCCCTTGCCCAGTGGCACCCAAGCTTCAGGACCCTTGGATTCTCCTCCCACTCTTTTGGATTCTAAGCGGCTCTGGCTTACTTTAAGGCCTTCCATTCAAGCCACAAGTTGCTGAAAAGTCACTTAAAATAGTTCCATCCTATTTAAGTGAATTTTCATAATAAAGGTTTGACGGAACAAGAGCCACATGTAAATAAGTGACTGTAGGAAATATTAACTGGGGCATTCTCTTTCTCATCCTGTCTGTATGAAGTGCAGAGCAGTTAAAATCAAACCCTATCTTAGGAGAGCCTATCTATGCCTGTGTGGCATCTGAACTGTCTTCCTCTCAAGGGCTGTCTCCAGAATTCTGCAGAAGACCACATGTCTGGATGATTGTGTTTGTTAAAGTACCTCAAGGTTCTACTGCAGAGGTCAAAGTTAAGGATTAGGCTGTATGCTGTGCTGTCTGCTGTGGGGTGCTATGTGGGTAAGAAGGATCCCTAGGCCCAGGTCCAGGCCTCCCTTATAGTTGTTTTGCCCTGAAAAAGCACCTGACCTTCAAAGGCCCACTAGCAGGGAAATGTTATCTAGAGAGAGAGTATGTGACGTAGGCTAGTGTGCCTAACATCAGAACCCTGGCCCTGCTGGGCCTCAAATCTACCCTCCCAGACCCTCTGGCTCTTGCTCCCAGTAGTACCTCTTTACTGTGAGTTGATACTTAAGAAACCATGAAAACCCCATCCTTGCATATGAGAAGAGCCATGGCTAGAGGGTACCTGCTCCTGGAACTTCTTCCCTCAATTGTTAGGAGGCCCCTGCCTTTCTCAAGGTATCCACTAGGTTCCCAATGTGAAGTGTTAAACTTCACATTGGTCCTGAGCCACATCTGATAGGCATTGATGGGAAGCTTTGAGTCTGCACCAGAAATAAAACCCTATTGCCTGTATTTCCCACAAACTTTAGGAGAAATTCCTTTGCTTTGGGGTTCTGTACTTTGGCCTGACAACCCTCTACTCTGAACACCTTAGCAAGTTAGTTTCCAGAGGTGGTATTGTCTGAGCTCAGCCTACCTATAGCCGGTGCGTTGATGCAGAGCTCCCTCGCCAAGAGCAGGAACGTCTTCCCCAGCACGTACACATTCACCTGTGCAAAAAAGAAAACAGCTAGGAATGCACTGGTATTGAAGAAAACATTTGCTTTTTTTTTTTTTTTTTAACAATTTGTGTGTGGGGTTTTTGTTTTGTTTTGTTTGTTTTGGTTCTTGTTTTGATTTTCAAACAGGGTTTCTCTGCGTAGTCCTGGCTGTCCTGGAACTTGCTCTGTAGACCAGGCTGACCTGGAACTCAGAGAACCACCTGCCTTTGCTTCCTGAGTGCTGGGTAAAGGCAAGCACCACCACACCCGGCTCAGCTGCTGTTTTCTTAAAGTATCTTCAAAGAACCCATTGCCACAGCCCCTTGCTGGACTGTGGAAAATCCATTCCATGCCTCTCTGCTGATTTTCACATCAGGAGCGCCAGCTTTCTTCCTATTTGGCTGCCCTTAATCTTGTCAGTGGCTGCTTAGAAAAGTTCTTTGAGGATACCTGCTAGAGTATGGTAGGTAACACAGTACAGAGTTATGCTTAGTTCTGAACCAACACAAGACTGGTACACAACACAATAGCTACTCTTCCTTTTACCTTACAGTCCTAGAGATCTCAGTTTCCTTGCTGGAATTTCAAATGTTTCCTCCACTACCCTCACCTCAAGTCCTTATCTGCCATGTGGCCTATTGGCCACCTGCTCTTCTTTGCCAGAGGAAGTAAGCAGTGGGAATAATTCCATTCTGAAAAGGCTGTAACAAAGGCTGGAGTGGCTGGAACACTATCAGTTGTCAGGAAAGCAAAGGTTTAGTCAGTGTACAGACCCCTAATGTGCAGTTCAGTACATCAGTGCAGCACTGCATGGACTAACCTGGGATACTCAGGCCTACCCAACCCTAGAGTCCCTCCCATCCTTGGCTCCCTGAAAACCCCACTGCACTCATGCCAGGCCATGCCTTATAGATATGACTGGTCTAGCCTTCTGCCTCTGGCTTCCTGAACCAACTCCCTCACCTAATTGAGCCTAACCTGTGGGCCCTCTGCTAAGCCCCTTTTCCTGGCATGAAGATGTTGCCCCCAGCCGGGCGGTGGTGGCGCACGCCTTTAATCCCAGCACTCGGGAGGCAGAGGCAGGCGGATCTCTGTGAGTTCGAGACCAGCCTGGTCTACAGAGCTAGTTCCAGGACAGGCTCCAAAGCCACAGAGAAACCCTGTCTCGGAAAAAAAAAAAAAGATGTTGCCCACAGATGTTGACATATGTCAAGAGACAAAGTCTAAGGAGTCTAAGGGATGATACACAATGGGGTCTTCATTACATGCAGGACTGGGGGGGAGAGAGTTTGTGATTTGTTAACTTAGTTGAGTCAACCCAATTGAGAAGGCCAGGGTCAGCCTCCATAGCCAATCAGCAGTGGGCTGGTCACCTTCCACCCTGGCTGGATACAGGTATCTTCCTGAGGTCTTCATGAGGACTGGTAGCTCAGAGAGCACTTTCTGAAGTAATTCTACCTTCCTGCGGTTTCAAGGGTCATCTAGAAAACTATGGTATGCGTGACTACATGGCCTATGCATAGGTCATATAATATATAGTTTGTGTTCAAGTATTCAAGTAAGTGTGCTCCCATAGCAGTATTCTGTTCCTGCAGCATCCTCTCAGGTTCCCACGGACATCCAGGTCCCCATCTAGTGTTGTGGCCAAAGCTGGCCCCGACTTCCATCTATCCACCTCAAACTCCTTCACTATTTTAACCTTGGGTTCCAGATGGATATGTTTGATGATGAAACATGAATGCTACAGAGACTGAATAGATTTCAAGTGTAAATTCAAAGTTTTCACACTTTCCAAGAGATGGCTCGGTGATATAGAGCGCTTGTTTCCCATGTAGAGGCCTTGGGTTTGGTTCCCAGCACCCACATGGTGGCTCACACCTATCTCTAACTCCAGTTCCAGAGGATCCAACACCCTCTTCTGGCCTTTGTGGGTACCAGGGACACAGGTGGTCCACACACATACATGTAGGCAGATGCTCATACAAATAAATCAAAAAGAAAAAAATCAAAAGAACTTTCTAGAGATAGTTTTTAAGCATCTGGGACTACAAGTGTGTACCACTACACCTGGCTTCTAGGCATACTAAAATTGGTAGGTACTATTAGACGTCATCACATTAACAATTCATTCTCCTATTGTGGCTATCTGCCTTTGGTATGTATGTGAATCAGGAAAAAGTGAGGCTTTAAATTCAGGGTCTCTGCCAGTTCTACGCTGACTCCTCTCTTCAGTCAGTTTCACCAGAGGCCTTTACTGACGTAGGCATGAGCCCTACCCAGAGATAAGCAAGTGTCTTGTCTTAAAATCAGACGAGGCCGGGGGCTGGAGAGATGGCTCAGTGGTTAAGAGCATTGCCTACTCTTCCAAAGGTCCTGAGTTCAATTCCCAGCAACCACATGGTGACTCACAACCATCTGGAATGAGGTCTGGTGCCCTCTTCTGGCCTGCAGGCATACACACAGATAGAATATTGTATACATAACAAATAAATAAATACTTTAAAAAAAAAATTAGACGAGGCCAGGCCCCAGGGATGTCTTGGAGGAACAAAAGAACATACTTGGATGCTCCGGGGCAAGGACAGCTATGTATGGTCTCCCGTGCAGGTCCCCTCACACTCCATTTAACCAGCATGGCCCTACCAAGAAGAGTAGTAGTCTGTGCCACCCAGACTATACAGCTGGCCCGACCTCAGCCTTTACTGGTGGCATGCCACCTAGCCTGACAGTCTGGGCTGTTTTCCCGTTTCCAAAGCTGTGAAGCCAAAGATGACTGGTGCACCTGTTTTCCTCTAAGAGGTGTCCAAACTACTTCTGGTGCTGCCTGGCCCTGGCCCCCATCTTTTCTGGGAGGGTGGAAACAGTCATGCTCAATGCACAATGCATTCAAAGGTGGAGTCAATGGATTATCACAATTCCAAAAGGTTATTTTTAGCTTGACCAAAAAAAAAAAGTTTCAGTAATAGCTGCTGAGAGATGCCATTTATAAAGACAGCTGGGAGGACAAAAATACAAGGCACCATCTGACTGAACTCTGTTAGTCAGAGGTACTAAGGGATTAGCAACCAGGAGCAGTACCCTGACCTATGGGCTCTTAGGACCCCTGGGGGCATCCAGATCAGGGTTTCCATTCAGGGTGAACTTGTGGTCATTCATTCTACTTCCTGGTCTGACCTCAGGGAGAGATCTGGAGACTTCAGTTAGTTTTTAGCCAACTGCCACCCACAGTGCCATCAATGGGGCAATTCTCCATGTGCCTTTTTCCTTCACTGCCTTTGAAGGTGCCTAGGTGCATCTTATAATGTTCAGTTACTTAGAAGTGAACAGTGTACTGACCATTGTGCCACATGACTTTAATCCCAGCACTGCAGAGGCAGAGGCAGGCAGGTCTCTGAGTTCCAGGCTTGCTAGGGCTACATGAGACCTACTCTTAAAAAACAAACAGAAACAAGCAATGCAACAACAACAACAACAAAAAACACTTTATCTGAATCTAGAAAGCTAATGACCCTAAATAGACTGTACTTACGAAGGTTGTTTTTTTTGTTTGTTTGTTTTTGTTTGGTTTTGAGACAGGGTTTCTCTGTAACTTTGGAGCCTGTCCTGGAACTAGCTCTTGTAGACCAGGCTGGCCTCGAACTCACAGAGATCCACCTTCCTCTGCCTCCTGAGTGCTGGGATTAAAGACGTGCACCAACACCGCCCAGCTACTTATGAAGGTTTTGCAGAGTTTGAAATTCATGCAATGGGATCCAATATTCCCTTTAAGAAAAGAACTTTCTTTGCCTTAGACTGAGTTTCACAAGGGGCTCTCAAGTGATTCTAAGTCTGAGCCACCAGGCCCTGGATAATACTGTGACTGTGGGCTGCCTTCTCCTACTGAGGCCCCAAGCTCTGGCAACACAAGCTTCACCACCCTGAACGCAAAGGCTGCCCATAACCACAGGCAGCAGGTGTAGGAAACACAGGCTGTGACCCTGCAAAGCCCTCAGGGCAGAAAGACTTAAGGAAAGTGATCTACCTGGAGCAGGTCGCTGAGGTCAAGGAGCATGTCTGCAGCCAGAGTTAAGGAGTATTTGCATGGAGGACCAGAGAGCTGGTCCTCATTTGTCTGATCCAAGCTCATCATCTGACCAGGGAGGAAAAGGCCCTGATGGAACTAACCAGCCCCTGAGGGAGACTTCTGGGAATCTACTTTAAGGACAGAAAGTTACAAGAGGGAGTAGGGAAAAGGGTCAGGGAAACCAGAAACAGGGGCTTCAGATGTCTACTGTACAATATCTTCTGTTCAGACAGCATAGAAATGGACGACCACACCTCAGCTCTATTCCTTAGGCACAGACTGGGGACTTCCAAATCACCATTCTGAGTCAGCAGGGCAACTCCTAGAGGACAGACACAGATGCTACAGCAAGGCAGTGAGTACCTACCAAGCATCGCCAGTGGGACTCTGATGTGAGATCTATCCTTGCATGAGTATGAGAGTAATCAGCACTAAGAACAGATCTCAGATGAATCCAAACTCAGATGGCACACAGACAGAATAAAAACAAGTCACTTGTCAGTGAAGTTAAGCTACTGGTTATAGGTGCAGTCCAGTAGTAAACTGTGCTTAACATGTGCAAGGCACTGCATCCATTCGCAGTACTACACAGTAAAAAATTATACAGGCTGCAGAGATGGCTCAGTGGCTAAAAGCACTTGCTGTGATTCAGCACCTTTAATCTCAGCACCTGGGAGGCAGAATGCACATACAATGAAAATAAATCTCAAAACAATTTTTAATAAAATAAAAATTAATAAGCAGGCCAGTAATGGTAACACATGCCTTTAATCCTAGCACTTGGGAGGTAGAGGCAGGTGGACCTCTGTGAGTTCAAGGCCAGCATGGTCTATGTAGACCCAGGACAGCCAGGGCCACATAGAGACCTTATCTCAGACAAACGAAAACAAACAAAGCAAAGAAAGGTAGCTGTCACATGTAGTTCCAACACCTAGGGGTCTGAAGCAAGATCACTTAAACTCTAGTTCAGGGCCAGCCTGGGAGAAACAGTTCATCTCTAGAAGATAAGGGGGAAGGAGTTTAGATGGTTTAGCTAGTAAAGACATGTGCTATGCAAACCTGAAAACCTGAGTGTGACCTTAGGAACCCATGGTAAAAGAAGGAAAGTGACTTCTTAAAGTTGTCTTCTGAACTCCACAATGTCCATGTGATACACATGCCTGTATACATACACAGAGATACACAAATAATAGATTTTTAAATATACATAATTTTATAAGAATAAAATAGAAACCAAAACATGGGCAAAGCTTGTGAGCAAAAACTTCATAAAGAGAGATAAACAGCTCATGCACACATGAAAAAAAAATTCTACTGCACCGAGGGATCATAACACCAAATGTTAACAAGGGTATAGACACCTTTAGCCCCTACACTATCCACAGACTGACAGGGCACAGCCTATGGGGACAGTTTGCAGGTTTCTTATAAGACAAAGTACAGGCCCACCTCTAACCCAGCTATTCCAGTTTGATGCATTTACCCGAGACAAAATCATTCACCCACAAAAGACGTGCATAAGCATGCTCACAGGAAATTCATTCAAAATGGCCTCATACTGGGACCAACGCAGGGATCCGTCAACAGAAGGCTAAATACTGTCTTATAAATACAGTGACTGTAGTAGGGAAGCAACATAACAAATACAAAGGTTGCCAAGTAACAAAAAGCTTAGAGCAAAGAGCTTAGGCTATGTGCCTATATTTAAAGTACATCCCAGCTCCAAAAGCCACTGAGAAACCCAGTCTTGAAAAAAAAATAATATTAAATAAAAAAAGTACATCCCAGAATAAGACAGCAAGTCTACAGTTGAAGGACAGAAGAATGATGGCAGCCTTTGGGGGCTGGAGAGGCAGGGTCTGACTGAAGGGGTGTTGGCAGACAAAGAAGTGTATAGACTGCTCAGAACTTACCAACTAGTAAAGGAAGATCTACTCATTTTATTTTATATCAATTTTACCTCCAGATCTAATCTTGTCTATCGGCAAGACTGGGGCAGTGGAATGGGCTGAGCCCTACTGCTTGCTTTGAACTGTGTCAAAAATAAGATGCTAAAGGACATGGGGGCTGGAGAGATGGCTCAGCAGTTAAGAGCATTGCCTGCTCTTCCAAAGGTCCTGAGTTCAATTCCTAGCAACCACATTGTGGCTCACAACCATCTGTAATAAGGTCTGGTGCCCTCTTCTGGCCTTCAGGCATACACACAGACAGAATACTGCATACATAATAAATAAATAAATAAATAAATAAATAAATAAATAAATAAATAAATGGCAGAAAGCTGATGGGAGGAGAGGGTGGCTGTTCATGGGAGAGTTCAATTACTTCAACTCTGTTGTGTTTGAAAATCATTTAAAATTATATAAAATTTCTGCCATAACTTTATTGTGAATGGTTTTATATAATTTATATTTTATATAATTTTAAAGATACTAGAATTCAACTTTCAACCAAAGTGACTGTTTTTCTTGGTAGGAAGAATCATCCAGCTGCTGGGAAGTCTATGCAGGTCCTCCAAATAGTGACTAGAGGCACTATGTCCTCCTAGCCCCTCTACCTCTAACGTGGATGCTGGAGTTTCTTAAGTCAAGAGAAGAGTCAAGGCATGCAAGAACCCCAAATTCCAAGGGGTGGGACCACTTTGTGACCCCATCTGGGTCTATCACATCCTGACAGGTGATACTTGTGCTCAGCCAGAGCCAGACTCCAGCTCCAGTTGTTAAGGAGAAATAAACACAGCAGAGTGGGAAATAAAGCTGCTAGAGGTGGGACTTTCTTTCGGGAGGGCTAGGGAGGCATGTGAGACTCCCTCAGGCCATCCATAGTTCTGACAGTCTTAGAGTGCCAAGGCAGTCAGTGTTGGAGGTCAGGGTCAGTTTCTCTGTAAACAGAACAGGCTAATGGCCAACCATGACCTCTGACTGGCTGTGCTTAGTGGAAGAACATTAACAGACAAGATCTGATTTAAACTGAGATTCTCCATAGGGTTCAAGTTTAGAGATTTAAATAAATGAAGCAGAACTAGAGCAAAATGGCATTTATTTTTTCTTTCTATTCCTTGCTCTCTTCCTTTTAGCATGGAGGCTTGAATCTAGGACCGGGCACATACAGCTCTCTACCACTAAGCTAAAGCCCTAGCCTATTCCCTATGTTCACATTTGAGCTACATGCAGGGTCCAAGTTACCATGTGTACTTTCTGGTTTTGTGTGTCAACTTGACACACACTAGAGTCATCAGAGAGGAAGGAGCCTCAGATGTGAGAATCCAGATCCAGCTGTAAGGCACTTTCTCAATTAGTGACAATAGGGGAGGGCCTAGCCCATGGCAGGTGGTACCATCATCCTTGGGCTGTTGGTCCTGGGTAAGAAACTAGGCTAAGCAAGTCATGGGAAGCAAGCCAGTAAGTAGCACCCCCTCCCACGGCCTTCGCATCAGCTCCTGCCTCTAGAATCCTGCCCTGCTGAGTTCCTGTCCTGACTTCTTTCAGTGATGAATAGTGATGTGAAGTGTGAGCCAAATAAACCCTTTCCTCCCCAACTCCCTTTGGATATAGATATCCAAAGACAGCAACAAGAGAAATGGCCCCTCTATGTGCAATCTGACAAAAAGATCTGTGTTCATAACAGCAGATGAATGGTTCAGTGGGAAACCACCCAACTAATACTGCCATTACAGGACCCCAAGAGATGACGAAGAAAAACTAGCCTAGCACTCACCATAGTCCACTTCTCACATCTCCTGGGCCCTTTTGCTCTAAATGACTGTTCCCTGCACAGTGCCATTCAGTAAGGTTCTTCTCAGCCCAACCACAGCACTTCCAGAGCAGGACCTCTCAGGATGCTCCGTCAGGCAAAGGCACTGAGAATGTAGCAAGCAAGCCTGAACTCCATCTGCAATTGGTGCATAGCACTGATACTTTGAGATGGTCCTGAAGATGACACAGTCACCTGCCAAGGCAGCTACCATCACACTTCAAGTTCATGGACAGTATGCACCAATGATAGATAGGGAACAAGACAGCAGATATTAGTATGTAGACAGTAGGGTTCTGGGTTGTTGGGCATCAATACTGTGTAGATGGCAGACTCAGTCTTGTTAGTAGGGAGTGGGGAGTTGCTCATCCTGGTTGCAGATGGAGTTCAAGTTCTGGGCTTCTAAGTACATTTGTGCAGCCTAGAATCCTGATGGCTCTGGGAACAGCAGCCCAAGCACAGTTTAATCACCTGCTCATAGTCTGACAGAGATTCTCCCTCCTGCCAAGGACAGCTGTGCCAGCTGAAGTAGGAAAGCCAGGCACCACTGCTCTTCTATTCCCAAGGTCATCTGCTGCTCTGCAGAGCAAAGCACAGATGACAGCAAAGTAACTTCAGTGAACGATCCTGACTCAAAAACGCAAGTGAAGAGGACAAGGCGATAACTCAGTGGGGAAAGGTACTTGTCACCAAACCTGACAACTTGAATTTGATTCCTGGACTTACACGGTAGAGGAAGAGAACTGACTCTACAAATGGTTCACTTCATCCCAATATGCCCTGTAGCACGGGTGCCACACCTCCCCGACACACACACACACACACACACACACACATCAAAAAAATAAAAGGACTGGGTTAAAAGATAAAGTCTAGGAACTGTCTCTAACCAAAAGGGTAAGTAGATGGATGAACAGGAAGCAAAGATTATATAAAAGCCTGATGGGGCAGACAGAGTAAACAAAATAGAAACCAAGTGACCTAACAAGTTCAAGGTGCGAGGCAGCCAGAGGGAGGGACAGCAGCACACCAAGGTCCCTGGAATGATGGAGAGAAGTCACTATAAGCAGTACATATATGACAGCAATGTATAGTAGAAAGCACTAGAGGAAGCTGGAGTTACTGACAGAGACTCTGCAGGACAAAAGATGGAATTTCTGACATATGTGCTGCCAACAGAGCTCAGGAATTAGAGTGTCTGGAAGAGCACAGGAGAATTAGACCTGAAACCTCAAGAAACAAAGCTGTAAAAGGGGGGAGGGGAGGAGTCATGAGCTGTCCTCTGCCATCCAAAAGAGGCAGGGACTTATCAGTTTAGCCTGACTACACCCACCATGGCAGCTGAGGTAGTTTGAATGAAAATGGCCCCCACAGATTTAGGGAGTGGCATTTCTGGAGGTGTGGCCTTGCTGGAGGAACTATGTCACTGGGGGTGAGCTTTGAGGTTTCAGAAGCTCAAGCAGGCCCAGGGTCACACACTCTCTCTCTCTGATGCCTACTGATCCAGATATAGAACTCCCAGCTACCTTTCAAACACCATGTCTGCCTATTTGCCACCAAGCTTCCTGCCATGATGGTAATGGACTAAACATCTGAACCTGTAAGCCATCCCCAATTAAATGTTTTCCTTTAGGTCATGGTGTCTCTTCACAGCAATAGAAATACTAAGACCTAACTAAGACAGCAGCTTAGAGAGGGAACCCTGTATCAGCTGGAACAAGACATCCAATAAAGGAATTGATGGGGGGCTGGAGAGATGGCTCAGAGGTTAAGAGCACTGACTGCTCTTCCAGAGGTTCTGAGTTCAATTCCCAGCAACCACATGGTGGCTCACAACCATCTATAATGAGATCTGGTGCCATCTTCTGGCCTGCAGGCATATGTATAGACAGAACACTGCATACACAATAAATAAATAAAGCTAAAAAATAAATAAATAAATAAATAAATAAATAAATAAATAAATAAATAAATAAATAAAGGAATTGATGGTAACAGCAGTGCCAAACTCCTGCAACTTCTAAATCAACATTTGAATCATCACCCAAGAACCAAGAGGGGCTTCCATAACAAAGGATATGAGGTGTGCCTTCAGTTCGACAAACCAAGTAGAGGCAGGCAGCAATCACATGGGCCATTTTCCGTCCTCGGGTCAGATGCTTGCTTACAGCCATCTTGAAGAAATTGAAGGCTGTGTCCAGGCAGTGCTGGTTCAGCTGCAGTTGGCTCCCCAAGTGGTGGATGTGGCGCCGTCCTAGGATGGAATCCAGAATGACCTCCAGTCACAAGTCTCAACTTAAAATCATGCATCACAAGAGCACTTTACAGTTTAAGACTGGAGCAAAGCCTGTTAGTGTAGACACGATCTACTTGAGAGATTGAGGGAAGAGGATCACAATTTCAAGACCAGCCAGGGCCAGGTATGAAGGCACATGCCTTTAATCTTAGCAGAGGCAAGCAAATCTCTGTCAATTTGAATCCAGCTTGGTCTACATAGTGATTTCTAGGACAGTCAGCACTAAAGACCCTGTCTTGAACAAATGAACAAAAAGAACCAGCCTAGGCTATCCAATGAGTTCAAAGCCAGCCAGAGAAACTTGGTGAGACCCTCTCTTTAAAAAATAAAATAGGATGGACAGTGGTGGTGCACGCCTTTAATCTCAGCACTCGGGAGGCAGAGGCAGGTAGATCTCTATGAATTTGAGGCCAGCCTGGTCTACAAAGCAAGTTCTAGGACAGCCAAGACAAAGAAACCCTGTCATAAATTAAAAAAAAAAAAAAGTAAAACTAGGCTGGAGAGAGGCTTAGTGGCTAAGAATATTGGCTGTTCTTCCATACAACCCAAATTTGATTTCCAGCACCCATATGGTACACAGACATACATGCAAGCACATGAAATAAGTTTGTTTGTTTGTTTAAGTAAAATGAGGGTTGGAGATGGAGCTCAGTGGTAGAGAACTTGCTTAGAACACACAAGGCCTTAGGTTCAATATTTGGTAATTCAAAAATGATAGACAGACAGACAGACAGATAGATAGATATCCTTTGTCCTAAGTTTTTTTAACTCAGTTTGAACATTCTAATCAATTTTCATTATGAACGCCAAAATATTGGTTTCCTAATTTTTCACATGTCATAAAACCCTATTCGTTAGACTGGAGAAATGGCTCAGAGGTTAAGAGACTGGCTGCTCTTCCAGATGTCCTGAGTTCAATTTCCACAAGCACATGGTGGCTCACAACCATCTATAATGAGATCTGGTGCCCTCTTCTGGTGTGCAGGCAGAACACTATATAAATAAATCTTTTAAAAAACAAACAAAACAAAAACAGAACAAAAAACCCAAGGGGCTGGAGAGATAGTGCAGCAGTTAAAATCACTTGACTGCTCTTCCAGAGGTCCTGAGTTCAATTCCCACAACCACATCAGGTGGCTCACAACCATCTGTAATGGGTGTTGATGTGCATGAAGGCAGAGCAC